TATAAAATCACACTTTCACTTACGTAATTCATGTCATAATATCAGCGCCGTATCGGAATACGTATTGAATTTTTTAGGCAAAAATCCATCTTAAGGTCCCAAACTTATCTCAAAATAACATTTAAACCTCTGAACTAAAAGTGAAGCAGATAAACCTTTAAACTCCACTAATGATGCAAGTAAGTTCTTTTTCACAAATGAGCCAAATGGTATTTCATGTTTAATATCATCTTGAAAGCATGAACACCCATGAATGAAAAAGACTTATTTGCATTATTAGTGGAGTTTTAAAACTTATCTGCTTTGTTTTTAGTTTAGAAGATTAAATGTTATTTTAGGATAGATTCGAGACAAATATCTACTTTTAACCTTTTACCTTAATAAATGTATAGGTTTTAGCCCTCGCCTTATACTATTATACTTTTAGCCCCTCACCTATAGAATTGAAGAAAATAGCTCTTATTTAATGTCATGTTAGCTGACCGTTAATTCTGTTACTTGACTATTAACTCTGTTAATTAACTGTTAGCATTCTGTTATACAAAACATGAAATTTAAATTCAATTTTATTTGTAAGTTTTGTTAACAGAATACTAACAGTCAGTTAACAAAGTTAATTGTTAGCTAACAAAACTAACAATCAGTTAATAAAATTAATAATAAGTTAACAGAACTAACAAAATGTTATAACCTAATGTTAAGTAAGGACTATTTTCTTCAATTCGTATAGGTGAAGGGCTAAAAGTGACATAATATAAGATAACTGGTTAAAACCTACAAATTTATTAAGATAAAAGATTAAAAATAAGTTTTTACCTAAATTCGGGGGCCTAAGAAAAGTTTTTACCAATTTTCTATTAATAGGTTTTGACTATTAAAATTTTAAGATTGTCCATGAAAAGCCTTAAATACCCTTAATGAATTGAAACATAAGAAAGATTTATTAAAAATATTTTTGATCATTTCAATATCTAAACTAAAGAATATTATGTGTCTGTACTGAAAAATACTTTAAAAAAAATAATTACCAAAAACAT